AATCATGTGACTGGGTGGGCGTGGCCAATTTTGCAGTCCGTTTTGCCAATTTAGCAGTCCATTAAACAATACGCACAAATAAAATTTCCATTTCTTTTGCTCCTGGGGGTGTTTTATTTGCTTTTGTTTGCATGTTGCTCTTTTGGTTGACTTTTCTTTTTACTAGGTAGTTTTTTAAGTTGTTTAGTGGTCCACATCTGTGGTCCAACTTTTTATGTCTTACCCTGCCTTCTCCACCATAACTTTTCTCTCATAATCCTTAAGTAACATGGGTTTTTCTTTCTTCTTTATGTGAGTCTTCTTAGAAACAGTGGCTGAGCAAGAATCTGAGAAAAGAATCAAGCATAACTGATCACCTGACAATTCCTAGTAAAGTTAAATCATTACCCAAACCAAATACAAGCCGCATGATGCCCACGCGACTCCTCATCCATGGACCTCTCTGCCCTTTGTGGTATACAGAGGAATTGAGGGGGATGAAGAGACGACAAGAGTGCTACTGGTGAAAGACAAGGGATGAAGGGGGAGATTGAGGTTCACCTGAAGGGGCCTGCTGAGGAAGTTGCTGGTTTTCTGGAAGATAAAATCAACTTCATTCCCAGTTAAATGTCAATGTGGTTGGTGGTCCGGTGGAAGTCTGAGGCAGGTCCTTACCCTGTTATCTGAGAACAGTTTGACCCTGTCGCTCCTGAGGAAGTGGACAGGATCCCAGGGAGTATGTATGCAAGCACCTGTGTTTTAGATCGATGTCCCTCCGGGCTTGTGAAAGCTTCCTGGGAGGTAATAGGCGGGAGGACTCTGGCAGTGATTAATGCTTCCCTACAGAAGGGGGTAGCACTTTAAGGAGGCAGTGATCTGCCCTCTTCTTAAGAAGCCATCGCTGGATTCCACCCTGTTGGATAATTTCCAACCTGTCTCCAATCTTCCCTTTTTGGGGAAGATGGTTGAGAAGGTGGTTGCACGGCAGCTCCAAAGGTTTCTGGATGAAATGGATTATCTAGACCCCTACCGGTTAGGATTCAGGCCTGGATATGGCACAGAAACAGCACTGGTCACGCTTTTGGATGATCTCTGGCAGGAGTGGGATGGAGGCAGTGCATTCATCTTTGCTCTGCTTGACCTCTCGGCAGCTTTCGATACCATCAACCGTGGTATTCTTCGGGAGCAGTTTTGCAGCATGGGAGCGGGAGGCCCTGTGCTATCCTGGCTTATTTCCTTCCTTTGCAGCCACTCTCAGTCAGTGTGGATAGGAGAAGAGAGATCCAGCCCTCAGCCACAGGCCTCGGTACTCTCTCCACTCCTGTTCAACATTTATATGAAGCCGTTCGGAAAGATCATCCATCACCATGGACTGAGGTATCATCAAAATATGCTGATGATACTCAGCTGTATGGCTGAGCCTGGAGTGAGTTAAGCGATGCTGTGTCTGCCCTCTCACAGTACCTGGAGGCTATTAGGGGCTGTATGGGGAGCAATGGGTTGAAGCTGAATCCTGGCAAGAGTGACTGGCTCTGGGTTTGGGGTTCTTTGGCCCATGGAGAAATGTCACCTTTGGTCTTGCATGGGGTGGCACTACTCCAAACAGGCCGTGTGTGTAATCTGGGGGTTCTCCTGAACTCACAACTCCTGCTTTAAAAACAGATGGCAGTCGTGGCCAGGAGGGCCTTTGCGCAGCTGTGGGTTGTGTGCCAGTTACACCTTTTCCTGGATGAACAATTCCTACTCGTGGTCATTCATGTCCTAGTCACTTCCCATCTTGACTATTGCAACACGTTCTACATGGGGCTGCCCTTGAAAATCATCCAGAAGCTCCTTTTGGTGCAAAATGCAGCAGCCCACATGGTTTTGTGCAGGCCTTGGTGTGCACGTGTATCACCTCTTCTGCGGGAGCTGCATTGGTTGCCGATTTACTTCCAGGTACAATTCAAGGTGCTAGTTGTCACCTTTAAAGTCCTTCATGGCTTGGGACCAGGTTATCTGTGGGACCATCTCTTGCCGGTCATATCTATCTGACCCATTAGAGTGGGGAGGAAAGGAATGTTGCAGGTCCCATCCTCTAGGGAGTTACATCTGGTGGCATCGAGAAGAATGGCCTTCTCCGTGGTGGCTCCCTCTTTCTGGAACATCATTCCCCCAGAGATTAGAATGGCCCCCACTCTAACACTCTTCTGAAAGGCACTGAAGACCTGGTTCTACCAGAGGGCCTGGGAACCCAGTGCGGGATGGAGCCTATTAAATGGCTGGTGTGATGTGTTAGGTAGAGGGGGGGCTATTATATTAAAATATACATATATACATATATACATACACACACACACACACACACACACACACACACATATACATACATATATACACACACACACATATATACATATATACATACACACACACACACACACACACACACACACACATACATATATACACACACACACATATATAC